ATAGAAAAGCGTATAAGGACGAGATTACACCTCGCGGTCAACTTACAACACCTGGCCTTTTTATGATGATGTAGGTAACTGATCAAGGACCTGAAAATATTTGCACTGTTTTCCACATAAAACTGACACATGAGTTGCTACACAGTTGAATTTCAATCTCCTTCGTCGTGGAATTAGGAGGAGATTTGTTAGAACGTTAGAAGCTACGCCATACACGACGGTTACGGAAGTTTTCAGAGCCATTCCAGGATGCTTGAAATAAGTTCAGCTCCAGCCGTTGTCCCCGTCGTCGTCGTCGTCGTCGCCGCCGCCGCCGCCGCCGCCGCCGGTGCTGCTGCTCCCTCTGTTGCTGCTGCTGCTGGTCTCGCTGTCGCTGCCGCTCTCGCCGCCGTCACCGCCGCTGTTGCTGTCGCTAACATCCATTGCCTACACCACCACCACTACCACCAGCAACCACCACCACCCCCCCTACTAACCACCTCCACCACCAGGTGAGAGAGGTATATAAGGGAAGACTATGTTAGAGCCAACGTTTTCAGTTGTCCGGAGCAGTCCGAGTGCAGCCCAGCAGATGTGATCCTCCTCGTCTAGTGTAACATAGTACCCCGTCCAAGTGACAGTAAGACGCCAGGCTCAAGGTGAGTCAACATCACATACAGAGGCCCAGGACACATACATCAGAAATAAAATCATATGACAGACCAGACTTCATCGTTTGAAAAATAGTTCTGACAGATATTGTACAGAGACTCGGTCGTTAACTCTCACTTCTCTTCGCTCGGTATCATATTAAAATGGGACCAACATATTAATAAGACATGAGTGTAGAACTTAGTTACCTTTACTGACGGAACGTTTCTTTAATAAAGATATACAAGCAGTGTTATTTTGTCTGACTCTTCAGCTTCGAACAGTGAAGAGTTGTATCCTTTCCTGTCATGATGAAGCTCTTCATGAGAGGTCGTCAGATTAAAGACCATTCATGCTGTCTCATCATGAGAGGTCGTCAGATTAAAGACCCTTCATGTTGTCTCGTCATGAGAGGTCGTCAGATTAAAGACCCTTCATGTTGTCTCGTCATGAGAGGTCGTCAGATTAAAGACCCTTCATGCAGTCTCGTCATGAGAGGTCGTCAGATTAAAGACCCTTCATGTTGTCTCGTCATGAGAGGTCGTCAGATTAAAGACCCTTCATGTTGTCTCGTCATGAGAGGTCGTCAGATTAAAGACCCTTCATGCAGTCTCGTCATGAGAGGTCGTCAGATTAAAGACCCTTCATGTTGTCTCGTCATGAGAGGTCGTCAGATTAAAGACCCTTCATGCAGTCTCGTCATGAAAGGACGTCAGATTAAAGACTCATCATGCTGTCTCATCATGAGAGGTCGTCAGATTAAAGACCCTTCGTGCTGTCTCGTCACAAGAGCTCAGGATACACCTGGACTGATGGTGACACAGGTGGGTGAGATTTTTTGGCCACAGTCAGAGACTGAGATATACTGATTATGGCATCGATCAGTGTTAGGACAGCTTCATTCAAGCTTAAGACTGACAGCTTCATTCAAGCTGAAGACTGACAGCTTCATCCAAGCTCAAGACTGCGAGTTTCATCCAAGCTCAAGACGGACAGCTTTGTCCAGTTTAAAACTGACAGCTTCATCCAAGCTTAAGACTGACAGTTTTATACCAGCTTAGGATTGACAGCTTCATCCAAGCGCATGACTGACGGTTTCATTCAAGTTTAAGACTGACAGCTTCATCCAAGCTTCATAGTGGCGGCTTAATCCAAGCTTTACAGTAACGGATTCATCCGAGCTTAATAGTAACAGCTTCATTCAAGCTTAAGAGTGACACGAATATACACCCAATGTTAGTGAATGTACACACTGTATTAATGTACACACTGTGTACATACACTATTACAGTGTGTACATACACTAACACAGTGTATGCACACACTATGTTAGTGTATGTACACTCAGTGTTAGTGTATGTACACTCAGTGTTAGTGTATGTACACTCAGTGTTAGTGAAGATACACTCTGTTAGTGTAAATACTTTGTCCTATTGTACGTACACACCGTGTTACTTTATGTTCACAATGTGTTGGTGAATGTACACATCATGTTAGTGTGCACACAGTGTTAGTGTATGTACACTGTGTTACTTTATGTACACACCGTGTTCGGGTAGGTACACTCTGTAAGTGTATGTACACAGTTATTATATGTACACACTGTGTTAGTTCATGTGTACACAGTACATATAAATTAACACAGTGTTTTGTGTACACACGGTTTTTGTGTGTACACACTGTGTTAGTATACGTATACACAGTGGTAGTGTATTCGCACTGTGTTATTGTATGTACAAACCGTTTTTGTGTAGGGTAACACACGTGTTATGTTATGTGGCGCACCGGTTAAGTAATAGTTTATTACATACGTATTATATGTATATACACTGTGCAAGTGTGAGTATAGTGTGTTTTAATGGCAGTGGGTGTAACACTGTTGTAAGTCCCTTGTAAAAATTTGTGTAATCGAATCTTGAGTTCACACAGTGTTAGTGTCATCACACGTGTTCACTGTACATTGTTAGTGTCATACACTGTACTCTTGTACAGTG